TCTTTCACCAAATCATGATTCTTTTCATTCTAGCTTTCCTGATTCTACTGTTTTGTTTGGTCTTTATAATTATTCCATGACAGATGCCAAGAATTTATACCTTCTGGGCAGAAATGGAAACAGAATCCTAAAGCGGCTCACCTAAGGGTCAGAAAGTCAGTGAATGTAAGCAGACCTTAGGCGTGAAGCTACATTCAGCACCCATTACATGGTCACGAGTTACCAAAGCAAGGAAATCCTTTAACATTTCTATGTGAATAAAGATAAAAATACAGGTTGGCTAAGTGTTTGTAAGAGACTAATAACTGCAGTTCCTTTCCTTAAACATAGTCACTGGTTGGCTGACATCTAAGTAACAGCTATAGATGACCTCCTCTGAGACTGAATTATACTTGTTTGAGCAGATATCTGGACTAGTAACAGAAACTGCTACAAAATCAGAGCCTCAGTAAAAAATATTTAGTGACCATTCTAAAAAAAGGACAGTGGCTTAATAAGCATGTTGTTGTCACAGGGCCAAAAGCATAAAGAAAAGTACTCACCTTCAAATATACATACACAAAAGTCTCAATTTTAAGATTATAAACTTAAAAGTATATTTTAAAAAATGTTAGTCGCCTGTATGAGATAAATTAAAAATTTATGTAATTCAGTGTGAAGCACCAAAAATGAACAATAAAACTGTTCACATAAAACAGTGAGAAGGAAACAAAGCACAACTATAAAAGCACAGAGGTATCATTTACAAGAACCAAGTAAATAAACTAATTTCTATTAATTTTTTTCATTTACCTGATAAAACTTTGTTGGTTAAACTGGGGAGGGGAGGGTCTCTGAGCATCTAAGGGGTAACAAAATGGTAACAAATATACAGCATTTCTTTATTAACAAATTATACCACACAAATCAGGTTATTTTTTCTATCTGATTACAGAGTTAACAGAACTTGCATCCATATTTAGAGCAGCAACATAAAATTTTACTAGGAAGAAATTCTGTATCTGGACCAAAGGACTGTAACGTGGACGAAGAAGGTAAAACTGGCAACTATGATGCAACTACTGCAAGAAGATTCAGGTTCGTTTTCCATGTTTATAACTCTCCAAAAGGGATAATACATTAAGGGGATAATGCAGCCAAAGAAGGGATGATGTAGAAAATCACATGAAATTAAATGAGCACAAAAAGAGCACGGGGGCGGGGCGGGGGGTGGCAGCGGCATGAGAACTTGAGAAGGTGTGAAAAACCACGCAGTGACAGGTCAGCTCCCTGGAGTTGCACCAACCCAGATTGTTCCCTATCCTAACTGAAATTGGTGGACTCTTCATCTGGGTACTTCAGCTTGAGAAATCAGTTAGATTAATCATTTTTAACACAGGTTTATTTTTAAAGTAGATACAGCTTAGGGAGAGAAAGCTAAATATTAGGGAAGTATTAAGTCCTTCAGAACTCAAAATTTTGCAGCCAAATGAAAGCAAAGGAAAGTATAAAATTTGGATAAAAATGTTTCTCTAAGGGTGAAACAGTTTTCTGAGAGATTTTAAAACCAAACACACAGTAAGAGAGTGGTTTTCAAAGTGGGTTTCAGGCCCATCCTCTCCTCTTCAAACCTTTCTTATATTCAAACATTTCTAATTCCGTTTTGTCTTTTGTGGCTTCAGGAAAGATTTCCTTTTAAAAAAAGGAAAGGGAAATCTGATGCCATCCCCATCCCCTTGCTACTGCTTGTTCTTTAAGGTTGAAAATCACTGCTATGAGAAAAATGAGATCTAAAACATATTTTGTCAGTGTTACTAAACTGAAAAGTTTCAACACAGATCTGTACATTATCCTGTAAAATAAATGAGCAAAAGAAGTTCTTAGGAAGAAATTAAACTTTGCTATTCCCACCGCCCCTACATCTGTTCTTCCACTGCCTCCAACCTCTCAATATTTCTAGACAGTGTGAACAAAATTCTAACAAACATTCCAGCCCACACCTTAATCTAAAAACATTTCATTTGATGGCTGCAGAGAATTTTTTTTTTGAGAAGGTAAGCCCCCAATTTATAGAAACCTCTAGAATAAGAATGTACGATTACCAAAATAACACACATTACATCAGGGAAGACTCTGCATAGGGTTTCTTCAACATAATCACTAATAATAAAGAAAAGCCAAATCCCAGAACTTCACTCTGCATTCATCAGCACACAATACCAAAGTGTAAACAACAACCAGGGGAAAATGCTTAACACAAAGGCCATTTTTCTTTGATGGAATCGGGGAGAAAAGTGGAACTGCAGGAAGAAAAGTGGAACCCAAGCTTTGGCCACTTATCAAGACTTCAACGAAATAGAACAAATCTCCATGGAAAGGGCTCATTCGGCAAACGTAACTTCTTTCCATATATTTTTCCTTCACGTCAGATTAAATAAACAAAACTTGTCATTTCAGAATCACTGATTACATCTTTTTTTAATTAGAAAAAAGTTTACTTGAATATTTACATAACTTTATTGCTGTTTATTACAACAAAAAAAATTTTAACTGATTTGTAGAATCCAACCAGTAACATATGAAATTGAAATCCATCTCTCAAGAAGATGCAGTTACAGCTGAATGTATCTGATGCTCAGAGTACAGCATGAATAAGAAAAATCCTTGCATGTCATGTGGTTCTTGCTGCAGTCATCTGTGTTCATCTCTCAGAAGGCAAAAGAATCCATTTGACACTTCAATAAATATCAAAGTAATCGTTACCAAAAAAATAGCTTCCACGGACCAGAGATCCAAGAAACAGCAGTTTTAATGAATGATTCCTAGAATCGAGTGAGTCCTCCTTTAGTCCAATGAGATGATGTCAGGAATGTTACTTCCACTGCTGGTTATGACCCCTGTCTCACTCCTGCTGCTGGATGAACTAACATGAGTACTGCTTTCATGGGGGCTGGTGGTGGTGACAGACGTACTGCTTGCTGTTAAGGGTGAGGTGAGACTATCCAAAAACATAGGAGGACAGTACTGCTTGAAACAAACAATGATGTCGATGAGGAAGAGGCTACAGTGATTTTAAATATAGAGACTAGAAATTATTAGATATACACAAGTGATAGCCACATATTTAAATCTCAGTGGGACTTAAAAACTTCTCAAAACTTCACATCTTTGGATGGAAGGTGGCATGAATTTTAACATTTTACATTATTTTGTGAGTGCAGCATATTCCTGATTGTCTCAAAACTCGCAGAATTTGTGACCAAATACGTAGTAGTACAAAAATGTCAACAATAACTAAAGTTACTTAATACTAAATATTGGCCCCAAAATTATGACTCATACTTAATCTCAAAAAGAATTTGCTCACTAAATGTATTTATACCAGATTTAAAACACACTGTAAAAGGCTAATAAACTTATTTTTAATGGTGTTGAGAAAAATGCTAATGCAAAACTCAGTAATTCTCTCAAAATTTAATATTAATCAGACCCTTAAGGAATAATGTTAAGACTGATCAGCGGGAAGGCAGCATCTGACCCCTTTGTACATACATGTAACAGAACCTGTGTAATTAGAAGAAAGCATACATTCTAATATAGAGACTTCATGGTAGCTAACTACCACGGGATGCTCAGAAACAGAGTTATCTCAGGTACTCACAAAATTTTGGAATAAATCTTAAAGGAAATCTAATCTAGTCTAATTTCCTTTGAGATGCTTGCTTGACACCCTCTTCCAACTGTTCAAATTTCTGGTTTCTTTAACATCTTAGCTGCTGATTCCCAAACTAATTCCGACCTGAGTTTAGTACTCTAATATTGACCTGGAGGAACAGAGAGAGACAAGAGCTAAAAGCTTTATATCACCATAGAATATTTTGTATGAGAGACAACTGCACTGACTTGAGTGAGATAAGCGAGGTCCAGTATACAAGAGGAGAGGTCCTAAGTCTGTGTTTAGATTGACTGTATGAAAGAAGATCAGTAAGGATATCTGATCAATATTATCAATTCTATATATTATTCAGCCTATCATGAGAGATATTAAAAACAGAAATTTAAAACTGAAGTTGTTTAGACTACATGATCCTTCAAAAAGACCATAAAATGGGAACAACGGCCCCAGGTTTAAGGCTGCCAGTCAGTGGAAGGGCAGTAATTAAAATTCAGGGTGCCTTTTAAAAAAGTAACTTAATGTTTAGGATGGACAATTGTCTTGGTTCATCAACAAAATAAATGCCAGGCACAAAGACATTCAAGGGGAGTTCTTAAAGAGCTTCTAAGAACCTCTAAAGAGAGTTGCATTGTCAGGTATTAAACTTCTTTAAAATCAATTTCTAATTTTCCACTGAAATTGAGCCAAGAATCTGGAAAAAGCCCAGAAAGTTAACATTTTATTTCTACTACCTCTGAGGGAGTTTTTGACCCCCTAGGAGTAAAAAGGTACTCTTCTTCCTTTGTATAATGAATGCTAGATACTACAGTCCTGCTATCAATAGCCTCTACATCTTGAAATCTTACAATACTCAGGTTGCAGCCAATCTAACTCTGTAGCCTTCATGTGTAATTTGAACACATCTGCATAAGGATAACAGGGATTTAAGGGGGCAATGTGGAGGTAAAGTAAAACAAATCTAAGGATTCGAGGAAAACTGAAAGCACAACCTCACCCTTCATTTGGCTTAGCAACAAGTTAGCCTGACATCAAGCATGCTAAATAGCCCTATAAAATCAAAATCCTCTAGGTTCCAAGATCATTTTTTAAAAAAGGATGATTCACATTAAAAACAGTAATACTTTAAGCCTGAAAAATCTATTTCCTAAAAAAACAGATAAATATTTTGCTATAGAATCTACTGCTGTAACAAAGTCAACTCAGGGTGAGAAGAAGAAACTCCTCATTCTGTGCCTGTTACCTTGGGCCCAAATTTCCAGTGCTGTTTATGTGATCAAATACAGCGTACTGAACCAGGAAGCTGATACAAGACCTGTGGTTAGCTGATTCTGAGCAGCCTACAAAGCAGTGGTGCATGGCTCGTCCTCTATCCCTCCCTACTCTCAACACTTCTCTCAAAGTCTCTTTCTCTGTTTTGCTTTTCCCTTCAGCTTTTCCCATGCCTTTTCCTCCTCTGCTCTGCCTCTGCTATAAGCTTTATCAGTGGAGTCCATGCTTATTGCAAGGTCTTCATGTTGGGATGCTGCGATACTAGAGTTTCTTATCTCTGACAAAGAAAACAGGAATGACTGGTTTATAGCAATTTTAGATTAGGGCATCTCCAAAGTCTGAATCATCTTATTGCCTTTAAAAACAAGGAAGAATCAAGCTAACGATTCAGTCTGTTTAATCAGCTTCAGCTATTTTCTATGTATAGAGCAAGTGTTTTACAACTTATCTCTATAAGGTTTTAACTTCCAGTCATTGAGCACCGCTTCCCCTCATTTTAATCACTCAAATGCTCGTAAGAAATGCCAACTGATTATATTAAACTAAATAAAATATAATTTAAAATTCCAGTATTAAAGGCCAAAATATCATAAACTGAGTCCTAGCAACTTCATCCCTCCAAGTAAAATTGTGAAGTATTTATATAGCACTTCCTTTCCATCAATTTAAGTAACTGAGAGTTGACTGTCCTGATTTTATGCAACTGGTCATTTTTAGTTAGTATGACACAACCAACAATCAAATACAAATTAGTTGCTTAAATTCAGGATACATACCTGGGGATCAACTGGAATAAGGGAAAGAAAATCCAAACCTAAAACAAAAATGTTCTGTTAATAGTTGTCTCATATGTTGGAGACAAGAATTATTTCCCTAAATTATTTTTTATTTATCTTAAGTCATAAAGCATTTGGGTTAAGGTCTTACCATTCTGCCATAGGGAAGGTCTATACCACGATCAGGATATTTATGTGGGTAAAACCCAAAAATGAACAAATTTCCTAACAAAACAACTAGAAAAACTGCCTCCCAGAGACTTAAAGGGGGCAGTCCAAAATTTTTCAGATAAATAGGACTAGTCAAAGCAAACTTTCCCCCTTTATCACTTAGCAGAATGAGAAGCAATAAAATGAAAAGATGACGATCTGGATTCGGACCATTAAAAAAACATACTTAGGACTCAAGGTACTTCACATTTATTTTTTAGAAATACACCACACTGAGCTTCATCTAAAATATCACTTCTTAGGCAGAGAAATGTCTATTTCATGGACAGCTCTCTGTTCCCCAGTTCCCACAACAAGAGTAGCAGTACACAGTTCAACGTGCTGCACAAAGCAAGCACCTGCTAACTGCTGCTCATTAACAAGCTAAATCTTACCAAGGTTTGCTGGGTTATAAGCTAATGCAGTTTTCTAAACCAAAGCTTTGGGATTCTCCAATTATGCTTTTGAAATAGAACTGTGGTAAAACGTTGCCCAGTAATACCATTTTGAAATATTAAAGTTATAACAATAAATAATAAAAAATTTCAGGTCTGAAAAATCTAGCAATAAACTTCAAGGTCAGTCCCCACAGACCTCTGTATGACTAAATTTCAAAACATTAAAAAAAAATAAAAATCACGTATTAGGTGTACGTTACTAAGACGGGCCAATTTCTATTCATTCTATGAATTTTTATATGCTGGTATTCAATGTCACCTCAAGTATAATAATCAAACAGAGTGTACTCTAATACTAGACTGTTACTCTAAAGAGAGAATATTAGTGGGAAATATTTAAAATATTTAATAACCAGTATGAAAAATTTATAAATCAAAATGTTAAAGTATATTTATTCCCTGATAATCTCTAAATAAGGGTATGATAAAAATACTTATCAAGTAATACAAGCTGTAGCACCAATCATTTGAAAGAAGTCATTTAATTTCTAAAGCATTTTTGAAAACTGCTGACATTTTTCATTTTATATGCCTATCACTAGCTATATGATGAAGCAAGGTTTGAGCCAACACTGGAATCACAACAAACTTTTCCAAGGAGCTCCCCATTAAATTGATACTAAGTAGGTGACATATCTCAATAAGCAAAGAGTTTCTCTTCACACTAATGATACTGTCCAGTAAATCCTCTCTCTGCTTCAGCTGAACAGTAATTCACAATTTGTCTAGCCCTTATAATACCTTCTGAGAGTTTTATACATTCAACATTTCTATTATGGACTACATCACAAAAAGAGTTTATTTGCATATCATTTTATTGGCTTAATTTTATTAATTTTGTTTTGCTTCAAATGGTATATAACATTATTTATATAATAACTTCTGCTTTTAAAAGCTTATTTAATTTCAAATATTCAATCACTTTTAATGTTTGTTGAATAACTCAGTCCATTTGAATAACAAAATTTCTTTATAAAGCTACAGAAAGTATTGCTATTTCTGTTGGAATATTGTGTATTGAAGCCAAATCACTCAAAATGCTCATTTTCTAAAGTTTATTCCCATTTTGTAACTTCAGTTTAAATAAATACACAGGCTTGATATAATTTTCAAGCTGTTTTTGTAGTTCTAGCACAGGAGACTGCCCATCGAGGAGGTGCCAAAATATGGAGGTGTTTCCATATTTTCATTATTTCAATTCCCATCTCTTCAGATGTACTGCAATTCTCTTTGATGATTATTTCATGTGTGCTAGTAGATATATAGTCTATTGATAAAACATTTTAAAAGATGTGTTTGATCTATATCTTTTGACACCTCATCCAGGGATAACTGAATATGGTAACTTATACAATGCCATAATAAAATGTCTAGAAATTTTTCTGAAATTTTGGTTGAAACCCATTGTCTCCCTAGCATTACACAGATGCTGTATACACAAAATTCAATAATGTTTTTAATGTAAATATTTCTCACTGAAACCATTTTTCTCAAACAGTAACAATGAAGTTCGATATAGTATCTCAGATGTTATTCCTCCTATTAAAAAAAGATTATCAACAATGTCTTGCAGTTCTACTTTGTAAGTACAGACTATTAAAACCCTTACATGAAATAGATGACGTTTCATGAACAGTGATCAAATGTTATTGCCTTATTTTGTAAGTGTAGTAAAATGCTGTTTTCTTATTTCACCGTAAGTTTGAACTGCAATGATATGTTGTACTGACGTATTTTTAGGCCCTCCTAAGTATTCTACAGTTGAAAATGCTCAATTATCTTTAACTAAAAAGCAGGTAGTGTTAAAAATTCTGATGGTACATTCTAAATGCTTTTGTCAATACTGATAAAATTGTCGTTTTAGATTTTAAATGCTTCTTCATGTGAAACTGACTCTGTATGTCTTATTAATAACAATACATTCTCCTTACTTGATCCATGAACTTTAACAAAACATAACTCCTATATGATTAAATATGTAAATGTTTAGCACTTTCAAATTTTAATGATACAACTTTTGAGCACTATTCCCACCTGACAAATATGGCACTAGCAATAATAAGGCAGTCATATTTTTTCATGAAATAATCAAGCTGTTTTCCACTCCATAAATACAAATTATGTTTTATTTTGCATTCACTGTTGCATAGTATCAGAAGATGTTCCAAGCTGCAGTTCATTATTAATATCATTTCTTCTTTGTTCTCCTGCAGATTCAGAAGATTCATGTTTATGATGTTTAAAAGGAATGTTAAGAAATGTATTAAAAGTCTGTCATCTCTCCATTCTTGGTGTTCTAATTAATATTTTATTATAAATTATTAAACTTATAAATATCAAAACTCTGTACAGTATGACTAATTACATAAAAATTATGCACAAAAAAATCCCCAAAGTAATTACTAATTACAAAAGAGCATATTAACAGTAAAACCAAAGTAAAAACTAAACTACTTAGATGTAGTAACTGCTACATAATTCATAGATGACGGTAAACTGGTAACTCTTCTAAAGTACAACAGTTCCTATTCTATTCTGTTTATCAACTGATAAGAAAGCCTTTCAATATTTTAATAATCAGTATTACTATATTGGCTTATATTGGCTGAATATCAGCCCTGGATATTAGTCTTAGTTCCTTAATGTCAGCTTGAAATGCATTTTATGAAATACACAGTTAACATATTTTACTGTTTTTCTCAAATCTGTACATTTTATAAAGTAAATAGGCTGACTTTATGCCCAAATTTTGAAATAATATGAATTCCCTGAAATTAAAAATTCATCCAAACTCACATAATTCAAAAACTAACAGGGCAAGTGATTTGTACATTGTACCTATTCTATTGCTAAATGGCCAGAGTCACTTAGTAAAAACAGAGAACGTTCATTATCTTTTTTCAGGATTTTTAATTCAAGATCTTTAGGAAACAAATCCTTCTGGAATGCTTGTTTGTAAGATGACATGTGGACACTCTTCAACTTCATTTGAAACTAGCCACAGTTAAAGCAAAACATGGCAGTAAGGAATTAAGACTCTCTGACTTTCCATCTTTCTTAGGACCATGAAACCTCACCTGTAACTCAGCATCAAGCTTTGTATCAACAAATACTCTATAACTGGTGCTAGCCGGGCTTACAAACAATTTTTTAAAATACCAATTCCCAAAGTACATGTGGAGTAAACATATTTAAGAAGCAAAAGGTACCTAACATTTTTTTTGATGGATACTATTTTTAGTCTACTCTTTTCCATTAAATTTTATTCAAACTGAATAAATGCTGAACAAATTTCAAGTGACAAAATTACACTGGGGCAGAGTACACAACTATCAACTTTTTCAACAACACAAACTTTGCCCAACAGAATATACATTGTGCTTAAAATAAAGACCTTACTAAGAGGGGCAAGAAGAATAAATCATAGGTCAAAATTAATTTCCTAAATCCAGAAAATTAATAACAGGAGGAGGTGACTGTATTCCACTAAAAGGGCCCTTCAAAGAGAAGGGAAGTCATGAATTTAAGAGTCACTGGTACTAACTTGCTCAAATTTGATCAACCAAAAAATGTCTGCAAAAACAATGGCAAAAACAATGGCTATGTAGGGAGAGAAAAAGAGGGAGGACAGAAAAAGCTTTAATTTTATAATATGGCCTTGGTTGCATACGTCTTGGTACTAAGGTAATTCAAGCAGCCTTGAAGCTTTTAACTGTTGAGTTAACATACATATAAAAGATATCCCTCAATATTAAGCAGAGCTCTAGGGAAATAGCAGGTAGATCCTATTTTTACAGGGTAAAGCTGGTAGGCAACACTGACCTCACAGTACACCAGTATATTCTGAAGTTGTGATGGGATACCAAGAAGTGATGGGCTACTAAAAAAAGTATGAGAAAACATTCTCCCTAACCTGTGAAGCTTCCATGATAAACGAAGAAAGAGTCTCCGAGTATAAATTCTCTATGAGGAAGAATAAATTCTGTAAAATTTTCCTACGGTATTTCCTCTCATCAAAATCTACAGATTGCTCTATAGTTAAAATGATAGGAACTGAATGTGATATATTTAAAACAGATACTACCTTTACCGGAAGTCTTTCCTTAGCATTTCTATTTAAGATATTTAAATTATATTTGCTCCACAGATTAAGATAAAAAATAAATGGTAAAACTTGATAAAAAAAACAAAACACCTCTTCACATACCTGGCAAATCTGATGACATGCTTGATATTGGCGTGTGGTGGAATGGTACTGAGTAGTCTGTTAATGAAGGCGGAATAGCAGCAGGATCAACCGAAGTCACACTGGGCACCCTTACAGAAGATGGCTGATACATGAGAACCCTGTTTTAAATAGCATGGGAAATTACAAACAATCTGGCTGTTAGTTCACAGGAGAGAAGGGCTGTACCACTGGGCATTGTCAGTCGTAAGTTCACTAAGTTTCCAAACAACTATACAGCAGCTACTCACTACACAGCACTCCACTCACTCTCCTCTTTCATAACAGTCTTCACTTTAACATGAACACATGTTGGCTCTCAACAGCAGCTGTGACATAAGAGCAAGGTGGGGCTTCCCTGGTGGCGCAGTGGTTGAAAGTCCGCCTGCCGATGCAGGGGACACGGGTTCGTGCCCCGGTCCGGGAAGATCCCACATGCCGCGGAGCGGCTGGGCCCGTGAGCCATGGCTGCTGAGCCTGCGCGTCCGGAGCCTGTGCTCCGCAACGGGAGAGGCCACAGCAGTGACAGGCCCGCGTACCGCAAAAAAAAAAAAAAAAAGAGCAAGGTGGCGTTAAAACATAATGGACAGTGCTGGAGCAATACGTAAAACTTTGATCCACAAACAGGAATACACTCTACATAATGATTTTATTAATGTATGTGTAACATGTATGTGAATATTAGTAATTTTATATATAAAGAAATTTAGAAATAAAATAGAAGACTCCTAAGATTTGATTAAAATCAGGGTACCTTTATGAGTGAAGCTACTTACTATAGCTCAAGCATGATTTCTTCCATTCTAACGTGAACTGTATTAATTATTAGCGATCTTATCTGGGAATCACCCAAGCAAAGATAGCCAGTCCTAAAGCCAGCCAGCCTGATAACAACAGGCAGCAATAAGAAATTAGAATAAGACAACTACTCAGGATTTCAGACATAATATCCAGAAATAAAAACACTGGCTACCATGATGCCATCTACTCTTCCAAGAGGGCTTACGACTTTGAAATTCGCTGTTCATGCTATGAAAAACACAAATTAAATACACTTAAGATATACTTTATTACTGGTATTTATACATGTACGTATACACACTATATATATAATAACTATAATTTTAAGAAGCAGTATAGTTAAACATATTTTTGAAAAAGTTCAGGAAAAAAGAGAGATGATTTTGCATCCTTCCTACTTAACCTTCATTTTATCTTAGTCCAGGGTAAACAATTAGAAGTTCTTAAGAAAACATCTTGAACATATACAAGAAACTGAGCAATGTTACAGACCCTCTGGCTGATGGTGGCCACCTTTTTGTCCAGCATCTTAGTGAGGCTGCAGTGGTAGCACCTGGTCTCCGAGCTCTGCGATGCCACACAAGGATGACAAGAAAAAGACAGATGCCGGAAAGTCAGCCAAGAAAGACAAAGACCAAAGACAAAATGTGGGACAAGCTCAATAACCTAGTCTTGTTTGACAAAGCCACGTAAGACAAACTCTGTAAGGAAGTTCCTGACTGTAAGCTTAAAACCCCAGCTGCTGTCTCTGAGAGACTAAAGATTCACAGTTCCCTGGCCAGGGCAGCCCTTCAGGAGCTGCTTAGTAAAGGACCCATTAAACTGGTTTCAAAGCACAGAGTTCAAATAATTTATACCAGAAACACCAAAGGTGGAGATGCCCCAGCTGCCAGTAAAGATGCATAAACAGGTCCCACCACTGTACATTTTAAAAAGTAAAACTTTACTAAACTGAAAAAAAAAAAAAAAATAAGGAGGGTGGGGGACAGGGACACAGGGACATTAGGTCATTAGGACATTAAGGCCAGCATTCCAAAGCGCTGCCAGTAAACCACCATGAGCTTAATGAGAGAGGCACAGAGCTCTGTAGCTGGAAGGGACCACTACAAAGATGAAGCACAACTGACAGAAACAGTACAACCATCAAAGTTAGACTGAGATGACAAGTAGGACCTCGAGACGTCCTTTCCCTTGGCTGAAACTTCCTGTTATTGCTCAGATTATTAAATACCAGTAATAAGGAATGATGACATATTTGCATGACATTCTTCATACTCAACACAACTGACAAAACTATTTCATAACCTCAATTAAAAATCTCAAACCACTTAAATAATCACCACCTATTTAAACACTGGATTCCCTCTAAAACCAGTTTGCATTATAACATGAGGCTCTTGTCTAGCTGTTATTCTGTACTATTTGTCAAAAATACAGATGTTGTTGGAAAGGAGGAAAATGAAGTCATCTTGAGAGGACACACATGGCTGTGCTGGCAACTGCTAGTCTCAGAAAAGCAAATAAATAACATAGGTCAGAGTTCAGGAATCTTAAACTGATCCATTTGGGAGGCAAAGGAAATATAACATGCTTGAGACGGTAACATAAGCCTCATATTTCAAAACACATTTTTCCAGATGTACATGAAGATGGACAAAAAGAGCAACCTGCCTCGGTTAGAATCAGAAGGTTTCTTGGCCTCCAGTGTTACCTGTCAACCTAAAACCACAAAGGTAGACTCCAGAGGGGGAAAGAGAAAACCTGAGATGAGCTCAAGTACGTATGTTATATTAAAGCACATCTTTTTCTGGAGGTTTGAAGACACTGGTCCTCTACAAGGATGAAAGTAGAACAGAAAATCACCAAAAGTGTTTTCAAATTACAAATGATCCTACCTCCCACACAGGAATGTGCATCAGAAATTGGGGGATGGGGGATGGAGATAAAAAGGAAAAAGACAGGAACTTCCCTGGTGGCACACTGGTTAAGAATCCGCCTGCTAATGCAGAGGACACGGGTTCGAGCCCTGGGCCGGGAAGATCCCACATGCCGCGGAGCAACTAAGCTCATGCACGACAACTACTGAGCCTGCGCTCTAGAGCCCGTGAGCCACAACTACTGAAGCCCGCGTGCCTAGAGCCCATGCTCCGCAACAAGAGAAGCCATCACAATAAGAAGCCCTCACACAACGAAGAGGAGCCCCCGCTCACTGCAACTAGAGAAAGCCTGCGTGCAGCAACCAATACCCAACACAGCCATAAATGAATGAATGAATGAATGAATGGAGACACTGGTATATGTTAGTACTAAGGAGGGGGTTTAAAAAGTGGCTCTGATTATTATGGTTGTTTCACAGTATTAATATATCTTAATCATATATATATTTTTTAAGATGCAAGTTTTTGAAGAAGACCTATATGTGTGTAAACATATATATGTATGTGTGTGCATGTATATACACACACATACAATATACAAACATATATATGATTTCATTTATTTTAAAAAGTTCCTACTTAAAGGTACATTTAATCTGTCACTTTTTCTCTGACACTGAAAAGAAATGAAAAGAAAAATTTCAAGTTTACAAGAAAAAGACAATGGCTGCCTTCCTCTTGCTCCCTCTTCTCGTCCTTTGATGTCTCACACTGGAGATTATCTTTTGTCTTGATCCTGAACTGGCCTTTCAACCTGGATCAGATTTATACAAAACAACAATAAAACTCATTTTCCTACCCTTTATTTCCATCTGTAGAGGAGTAAGGCCAATGTCCCAATGCACATGTCACCACAGTAACTCTTTTTTTTTTTTTAATTCTTTTTTTAACCACAGTAACTCTTAACCACTGCATATCTTCTGTTCTCATAACAGGAAACTTTGAGTGATTAAATAACTATTCCTTGTTTCTCCAATACAAAATGCTGTCACAACACATGAAAATGTCACAACCCACTGACAGTACAAATTATTAAATCAACATCTAAAATCTCAGCAAACATCAAACTATTTAGTGTAGGTTAATTCCTCTTACCTGAACTTTGTAACCATTAATACAAATTCACCTTTATATAGAAGGGGTGAAATTCGTTATTTGTTAGGATTATCAAATTACCTACTGGTAGAAAGATTTTTGTTTTAATCAGAATCTTCACAAAGACCACATTCAGAAAGGTAAATGATTCTGATGCCTATGCAAAAAAAGACGTATTTATAGATACGGAATAACAGGAACCATGGAGAAATGTAAATGGCTATGTCTGGTGGAATTGTGGGTATGTGATGCTATAAAACAATAAAAACATTTTTTAAAACTTTTAATATTTGTTACTCCCTCCTCACAGGATTGGCAAATACACACACAGGCTTTATGTGTACAATATGTATGTGTACATATATAAATTTTTACAGCTGTATCCACAGTATCACAGCACAAAGGTAAACTGCTGGCATGCTGCCAGACAGCAAACATCAGTATTCTAGACTGTGTACTAGATCACTGAATTAATACTTGGCCCCAACTTACATGTCTGAAAATTCAGTAACTTGAATTTTTATCCATAAACCTGAAATTCACTGGGTGCTCCCACTTTATGATCATAAAAATATTTTAAAAGATTCAATTTTGCTAATGATTCTTCATCTATTTCTAATCTTTGTTTCCTGTCTTTAGAATACCTCCTCATTAATGACAAAGCAGTCATTCAATTTCCCAGGCATGGGGTAGGGACATAATATTTAAAATTATCTTTTAATTTAGAAAAATAGCAGAGGTTTCCTAAAAGTCTTAGATTAAGGTGCCAATTTCTTCTGACAGGCTA